CCATCTATCAGGAAAACGTGATCTTTTTATCAGTTTTACCACTTGTATAATGCTACTGATCTGTGACTATTTGAGATATAAATATTAGTAAAAATGAGGGTTATCAAGGACATCCTTATGATTATATGCTAAACGTGGTTCATATCATATTTGTTGATATATTGTCTTGGATATAAATTCCATGTATGATAATATTCTATCCATTCTATCTTAGCGCCGTGTTCTCATTCGATCATTCCTGTTCGAACTGTGATCTTTTCGCTTTCCTTCGTTTCATCATTTTCTTTAACATACTTTCACTCGATAACAAACGTTTATCATCCTTGAATTATGTCTTCTTCACAAGTTAAATGGGATTGTTCTCAATGCGGATATGCTCCAAGTGATCGTCGTAAATATTGCAGTGAATGTCACTCAATGTTAACGTGGGCATGTACTGCCTCAGGAAGGTCTGGCCGGTATACGCATTATTATCGTCATCGTGACAATTGTAGTTATTGTACACCAGAACTTGAAGAAGAAAAACAACACGAAATGGAAGAGAAACAGCAACAACTTCAGGCTTTAGATAATAGTAAGTAACATCCCTATGCTAGTTTACACGTGCGTTTCCTAGTCGACTATTTTGTGCTAATGAAGTAGCCAAATTAATAACTATTGTACTTTTTTCTATATTTTAGAACAACGTCCTTGGTCCGAATGGAGACGTACGAATGCATCTTGCATTCAACATACTGGATATGACGTCGAACAAGTACAAGAATTGTATTCTATGTGTGAAGAGCCACTTGTAAATTATTGTTCCCATAAGGACTACCGGCTTACATACAGTGCTGCTACCTCTTATTTATCTCCTATGAATATGCTTGTTGTTACACTATGGTACTTGAAACATTATCATTCTGAACGATATATTTCTTCGGAATTGAATTTAAGTCAAGCAGCAGTGAATTATTTATTGTCAACAGTTGTGGATATTTTACACTCGTGTGTATATCCTGAATTAATTTCAATACCTACTAATCTATCTAGTGGTAAAACACCACACGGACCTCAACAACACCATAAACTAATAGTCGATTCGACTTTTATTGCAATCCCTGAACCTTATGATTCATAGAAACGTAAGGCATATTATCATGCGAAAAGTTCAACAAATTATGCATTGAAAGTTCAAATCACTTGCGATTTTAATCATCGAATCGTACACGTATCCAAATGTTATCGTGGGAGTGTACATGATATTACAATTCTAAGAGAATCCGGACTATTAGAACATGTAAACGACGCCGTACAAATTATTGGTGACAAAGGATACATTGGTGAAGAATATGTGGTGACTCCTAAAAAGAAATCTCGTGAACGCGAACTAACAGATGAAGATAAGGATTTCAATTATGACATTAATAGCGCAAGAGCAGCTATTGAAAATATTAATCAACGTTTGAAAACGTATGCAATCCTTAGTAGTGTCTACCGAGGAGCTATTGATAATTTTGATAAGGCAACGAAAATCGTACAAGTTGCTTGTGCTCTATGTAATTTGAACTTAATAAAACACCCTATTCGTAGATGAACAAAATCATAACTTGTATTTCCTAATTAATTACTTGATAATGAAACCTATTGCTTTTTCATATTCTCTCAGATTTCTGGTGGAGAATGGTGAACGTTAACAGATATGATGTAAACGATGTTTAGCATATAATCATAAGGATGTCCTTGATAACCCTCATTTTTACTAATATTTATATCTCAAATAGTCACAGATCAGTAGCATTAAACAAGTGGTAAAACTGATAAAAAGATCACGTTTTCCTGATAGATGGATGAACTTATATGAGTAAATGAATGTTGGGGTCCCCTATCAGTTGATCACGCCCATATATGTTTTCAGTCCACCTCATGCGTCTTGACCAATGAAAGTATAATTATCACACAAATCATCTGCATTATACGTATCCCAACGAGGAGTTATCAATGGTTTATTTCGTGGATAAACCCAAAATTGATGATCGCGATCAGGATCGCCGTGGTAAAATTTTCCCGACATACCTATCTAAAACAAAGAGACATTTTTGTCGTATTATTTATTTCAAAGAATAAGCTAGATTGTTTTTTTCTTTGAATATCTGTTGACTACCAATATAACGTTCAAACCTTTGAGTGATAGGAATAGTACGCATATCAACTACGTATCACGAAAGTTTCATTCTTGAAAAAGTAAGTAATGAAAGGCAACTATTCATCATAGACAGAAACGATATGGAAAAACAGTAAACAGACGGTGAATAAAGTGATGAAGGAAAAAATTAAGAAGTAGCTGCCATTATTGTCTACTTGCAGAACAAACAACGAAATTGCGAATGAAAGCTATTTTGTGTCGTTGCTCCCTTTTTATGTGCTTTCTTTTCATCTCTTCAGATGAATTCCTATAATGGGCAACCAAGATAATGATTGGAGCAAAAATCGAAAAGGGAGAGTGTGTAAGAGTAAACGAAACAAGGTTTGCCAGTCGTCAATGCTTTCTTAAAGAAAGAAAAACTAAATTCACAACGAAGATTGATTTTACCCTGTAGACTTCTCTCTCTCTCTCTTCGTTATTTTTTTTTTCGCCACTTCTATTCATTCGTTTTATTACCTAGAGAGCACAATTAATAGGATAAAACCCAGCAAAAAAGAAAATGTTTTAACGAAAAAAAAAAACTGAATTCTCTCCGATCAATGCTTACCCTCAAAACAAATATCGACATTGCAACTCAAATATTCTTTTTTTTTGTGTGACTGGTTGATCATGTGATTTTTTCATCTCTTCAACTGAATCATTTTACTTGTTAAATAGCATAGTTAATGAGGTAAAAGTCAGCACGAAGAATTGTATTAAAAAAAAGAAAAGACTGAATTCTGTCTCATGAATGTAACGATAACGAAATCAAGAATAAAGATTTTTTGTATTGTGACTTGAACCATAGTTGTAATCACTCAAGAAATACTAAAATCTGTTCGGTTTAACTGCTCTAAAAATTTTTGTAGATTAGAAAGGACGGGAGACTTACTGAAGTGTTTGTAACTGATAAAATCCATATGTAATGATCATAAATGAAAAAGAAACGAAAATACACCTATCCTTAAAATCAATATTAAGTAAAGTGGTAATTAAAAGAAAAATAAAATGATCGAATCAAACGCTAACAATCATTTGTCATTCAAATTTTTATAATTTTTATCAGGAATAAAATTCTTATGTCAATTCATTATATTTTTGTGCATCCACATAAACAACCCATAAATATGATGACATATACCAATAATAAATACATTTTTCAAGCATTCTTTTGACGTCACATAATGGTTCTATATACCAAAAGCAAGAAAAAACATGATTAACTTTCTTATCAACTAACTTTCAAATTAAAATAGTGGAACGAAAATAAATATCTGTTAACACAGATTTATTAGTTAATAAGGTAGGATACTGATTGTATAGAAGATAATATTTAGTTTTACTAATTCTCTATGAATATCAAATAAATATTATTTTCGTTTACATATACCTACACCCACGCCCACCCAAATGTAAAGCTGTAGATTGTTAACAATATATTTCAAAAGAGTATATTTTTTGTTTTTGGTACAAACATTGAAATACAACAGAATTGAGGGAGAAACAACAGAGATTTCCGTCTCTTTCGACGTTTCGTCAAATCTTATGAAGTCTGTTGTTTCTTCTTCGCCACTAAAACATTCACATAGATTGCAATACGAACAATATTTAATTATGTAAACGACTAGTTTTAGTCATTGATCATTTGACTTTCTCATATCGATCCATGTTGACAGGTTACTTCATAGATATTACAGTAATGTTGCCTACTGGTTGTTTAGTCAAACTTTGACGTGGTTCTATTCGTGGTTGATGATCTTTATTTACCATATTGCTTTGAACTGATTGTATTACTGGATTAGTTTTTCTGTTTTGCCTGTGTGAATTGAAAATTCCTACTGTGCATATAATATTCCATAATTCTGACCGAAAAATAGGCGCTGACAACGTATACAAATAAAAAGAGAACACAGGAAACATGTACATCATTAATTCAGCAAGAAAAGCAACCATTCGTTCGATAGCAAGAGCATTGACACTTCTATTAGGCATAATGCTTACTATGGCATTATATATCACATTTCCCATTTGAGGTGTCATAAGTATTATATAACAAACAATTTGTACATATAATATAGTTATTACATGTCTATCTAATGTTTCTTGGCGTTTTTGTTGATCAACAAGAAACTGAATGGTAACTTTTTGAATTCTTTTCAGCTTTTTAATGTGTAGATTACGGCGTATAAGTATAGCTGTTACAATCATGATTGTAGCTGGAAGTATGCCACCACCAAGAACAACATATATGGTATGATAGAGTGCAGCTGCTGGGTTGCCGATGATGGCGCAAAAATTTCCCTTGATCTCATAGAATATAAGGCGATGACTAGCCACAATAAACCAAAAAATAATGATTCCAATGATAGAAGGATACGCAATTCGTATTCGTGCAAATGATCTCAAGCGTGGACTCCGAGAAGACGCCGTATACCGATCGATACAAGCGAACGAAATAAACCATCTCGATACCATTAAAGATATTTGAAGAAAATAGCCACGAACCTTGCAAAATATAACCGAGGTTACCAATGGATCCGGATGATTAAGACTGTACATTACTGGTAAAACACCTACACCCAAGCTTACCAGATTGTTGAGCGATGTTGCAAAAAAATCTATTAAATAGAAAAAAAAAACTTCTATTTTAGTAAGTTAAGTCTTTAAAAACTGAAAAACAGACTATTTTGTTGTGTTTCTTTTAGAAAATTTGTTTTAATAGAACATCAACATTTTTTCTGAAAAGATATTAATGATAATTCATCTGCACGATCACACTTCTTCAGCAAAGATCTGTAATAACATTCTTTCAACACTGCCAAAATGCCTTACTACTTAACTACTTATTCACACAACCAACGTATCACTTGAGAGCATTCTCATACCAGTTATTCAGACTAGTCTTGTCACAGTAATGTGATTCACACTATCGGAAATTTTTCAAAGAACCATAAATAAAGTCATAGATTTTTTGTACCACTTGTGTCAAACAACTGACATTTACCTGTGAAAAAAATTCTCGAATTCACATCGAGAAACATTTTCAGCATAATCTCTCGGAGATAAACATGTAAAATATATTCGAGTCACTTTAGTTGTGCATAAAGATGTATTTAATATTCTTCAGTTGTCTGTCATAGTCTGTGACAAGGATTAAAGGGCTATGCTGCAAGAAAAAAAAAGGAAAGTTTTCGGTTTTAAGGAGCTCAACTCGATTCAAAGTCAATGAATCTGATAATTCAAATCACATAAAACAATATATCACATATCTATGAGTAAACTTGGTAGATCAAAATAAAATTTGATTTAGTTTGAATTAGATGTTTTCATTTTCTTTTGTTTTGTTACTATATCAAATTGTCTCTCGATAAAAAAAATAGATCTTAATTGATTAGAGATAGGAATTAGAGTTACGTGGATGAGCTACTTTATGATGAGAATTTTCACTAGGATTTCTATTATATAAAAAAACGAATTCAAGCATTTGATTTCACTCTAAATAATAACTCGTTACTCGATAACTTCAATTTCCTATTATATTTAGTTAATTATCTAGGCATCTACGACATATACTTACAAACACAGCAGGAAATTTTACGCATGTTTGGCCGAGAAAATATGAGTAAGTTGAATATACCACCAGGTGCACCAAGTATCAACCAAACAGAATAAACAGTGCGTACAATTTGTTGTTCAATATCAAGAAGTGTATTGTTCAACAATACTTGAGACATAACGATATAACAAAACAATATCTTGCAATATTTGCTTCACTAGTTCTTCAGAATGACAAATCAGACAACACTAACGAGTATTGATTTATTTTTTCTGCAAAAGTAAAATTAAATGTCAAATAGAATCTATTATAATCCGATGTCACAAGAACAAATTGTAAATACTTCGATAATAACTAGAATTTAAGTTGCATGAATATATTTTAAAAGTCAACTATTGCATTTAGGAAAATGTGCAAACTTTTTTCCCACAATATTTTGAAAATGTTTTACATAGAAGAATGACTTTTTATTTATACGTATGTGTTTTCATGGCACTTTTAGAACGAAACTGACGCTGATTGTAATGTTTTCTGCATGGGCAGATTGAAATGTTGTTTTCAGGATTTTCGAAAGATCTTTATGAATTGAACTTTAAATGAAAAAATTATAGTATGAGCTATAAAACGCAAGTATATACAGATCAGATTGATGTAGCAATGCTGAATTTCTACAAAGATGTCTCGTCAAGTAAGAGTGCACAAACGAACACAAATAGTCGTCGTATTTTCTAATTGGAGTAACACACTATAAAACTGGATATCGGATTAAAATTTTGTGCAAAAAAATCTCTAAATGAAGTATTTGTCAATTGAAAAAATTGAATATTACTACTTTGTTATCTCCTATTTTAAAATATGAACATAAAACATCTTATTCTTCATTGCTACGCAAAAGAAACATGCTTAAACCATACCACAGTCTGAAGTACACCAGCATACTTTAAATATTTACAATTCGTGAATCTCATTAGAAACGTCACGCGACAAAAGTTTCAAAAGAATTGCGTGTAATTAAATAGGCAGAAACATTATTCACTGGCATTGAAGAGTAGCATTATCTTTCATATGCTTAATTAGCTAAGTGTTTAGTATCAAAAGCCGACCAATATCATTCACATATCACTCAGCCGGCTAAGTTTTTTTTCTAGATACTACTCTAGAATACTGTCAGATGCTGACTTATCTTTAGTTCAAGAAAAGTTGTGTCATCGTGAAGCTTTCGTTTATATTGAGACATATATTTATTAGTTAACTAAGCTTATCTGAATGAAACGTATTTACCGTGACTATAGAGCATGAGTACATAGTTTTAGTCGAAGTAAAGATAAATTTTAAGAATCTTGAAGAAGAGTATCAGATAGAAGAGAGATTATTCAATGAAGAGTTCTACACCAAGATACAAGAAATACTGCATAATGAATATTAATCTAAGATA